AAGAAGAAGAAGAAGAAGAAGAAGAAGAAGAAGAAGAAGAAGAAGAAGAAGAAAAAGTTTTCTATTCACTCCCCAAGGATAGAAAACACAAGGTTTGATCCTTTAAAAATATAACATTATGACATTACGCACTCACTGACACTGGTCGTAAGTATTTTAGAGTGGTTTGTGAGGGGTATGAACCCAAGGCCCGCCGAGAACGAAGGTAATCTAAAGATGACCGAGTACAGCTGTTAACGTTTCACAACGGGGCAGCAATCAATGTTTGTGATGGAAGTTACGATTGATCTTGAGATCATCCTTTTCTCGAGTTTCTGTCATTATGTCTTTCTCTTGGTGTCCTACTGACTCTTTGATTGCATCTGCTTTCACATGTGAGGGGATTTGATTTCACGTCCTAGAGCGGTTGGCAACCATATCATTATTTGATGTTTTAGTGACCTCACAAGAGATGAGAGATTGCTTTTTTAAATATATATTGGATGGATGTAACGAAGTCATAAAAGTTATGGGGGTAACTTAAGGTAATGGATAAGTACTTAAGTCTAAAAAAACAACAACCAGCATCAACAAACAACACCCCCCCCCAAAAAAAAAACCCACCAAAAAAAACGTACTTAGTTTATACTTATCCCACAGAAAACCTAGAATTAAAAGAAGCTTGTAATGAGTGAATACGTGGGAATCCCTTTTTCACTCTTAAATTAAAGTTGTATAGCGGAATTTTTCCAACAACTGACCGGTGTCCGTGGTGTAGCGGTTAAGTGCTAGGTTATAGCACGCAGGACACCCGAGTTCGCTACATGAGTTGTCAGAATGTTTATCAAGTATCTCGGTTTTTCTGCTGGGATGCATCCCTCTCAGCCCAGGCTGTAGAGAGAATTAAATGTGCAAATGGCTGAGGAACTGAGGAACATAGTAGTATCCTGGGGCTTGCTTTTTGGGAGGCTGTTAACCCTGTTGGAGAAGAAGAAGAAGAAGAAGAAGAAGAGAAGAAGAAGAAGAAGAAGAAGAAGAAGAA